TATATATATATATATATATATATATATATGTGTGTGTGTGTGTGTGTGTGTGTGTGTGTGTGTTCTGTTGATATGCTGACCTTAGTTCTTGCTGCTTTGAACCTGAGATCATAAGACTAGAGCCCTAAAACAAAACGTTTTGTGGGTTACAAGTTCTACAGATTTTGACACGTAGCGACAAAGAGTTTGTTGCTTTTCTGAGAATATATATATGTTTCATATATTTATCTTTCTTTGGTTTGACAAGGTGCTTTCTCCAAAGATTATAAATTGTTCTCAATAAGTCAATTATACAAGTGATAAAGAAAGGCATACATAGGTGCATATACAGCACTGTACAAAATCGACTCATGCACATTTTAAACTAATATCTATGCTCAGACTTATGTGTGTGTGTTTGTGTGTGTGTCTGTGTGTATGTGTGTGTGTGAGAGAGAGAGAGTAAATGTTAAATACACACTGTATTCAATCGCGACATTATTGTGTCATGTGATAGACGTATATGTTATGCCACTAAACAAAGGATACACTGAAGATTAGATTGTGATTATATTCGTCATATGATATTCATTGTCATTTTTGAAATCATGTGAGGATCGGAAATTTGCCATTATTTGAGCTTTGAAAGGGAACTAATTATAAATTTGCGTTTTACACACTGTTCCATTTATGTTGAACTTGGACATAGGATATTGTAATCGTGGGAATTACATGCATCTATATCCTATTCATTTAAGGGGCTCCACTGACTGTGTCTGTGGGGATCGCATGCAACGATATCTTATTCATCCAAAAGGCTGTACTGACTGTCTGTGTGAATCGCATGCAACGATATCCTATTCACGCAATGTGCTGTACTGGCTGTGGCTGTGGGAATCGCATGCAACGATATCCCATTCATCAAAAAATTTGTTCTGACTGTCTGTGGGAATCGCATGCAACGATAACCCATGGGAATCACATGCAGCGATATCCTATTCATTTAAAAGGCCGTACTGACTGTGTCTGTAGTAATCACATGCATCCTATTCATCCAATGGGCTGTAATGACTGTGTCTATGGGAATTGCATGCGACGACCTCCTATTCATTCAAAAGGCAGTACTGCATGTGTCTTCAGGGATCCCATGCAACGATATCCTGTTCTATTCATCCAATAAGCTGTACTGACTCTGTCTGTTGGAATGTCATGCAATGATATTCTATTCATCCAAAAGGCTGTACAGACTATGTCTGTGGAAATCACATGCAACGATATCATATTCATCCCAAAAGCTGTACTGAGGGTGGTTGTGGGAATCGCATGCAACGATATCTTATTCATCCAAAAGGCTGTACAGACTCTGTCAGAGGAAATCACACGCATCAATATCCTATTCATTCAAAAGGCTGTACTTACTGTGGATCCAAAGCAACAATACATGCAACGATATCCTGATCGTCCAAAAGGAACTACTGAATGTGTCTGTGGGAATTGCACGCAACGATATCATATTCATATAAAATACCGTACTGACTGTGTCTATGTGAATTGCATGCAAGGATATCCTATTCATCCAATGGCATGTACTAACTGTGTCTATGTGAATTGCATGCTACGACCTCCTATTCATCCAAAAGTCTTTACTGAGTGTGTCTGCGGGGATAACATGCAACGATATCAAGTTCATACAACGATGTAGTTGTTGTTGTTGGGCTTAACGCCATTTTTCAGCACACGATAGGCTATTCATGGCGGCCAGTATTAATGGTGGAGGAAGAAACCGGAAATCACCGGAAAGAACCACCGACCCACGAGAAGTTACTGGCAAACTTTCTCACATATCCACATTAGCCGAATCCTAGACTCGAACACACGCAGACAGTGGTGAGATGGCAGTGATCCGTAACGGACAGCGCTTTAGACCACTCGGCCACTCGGGGCCCCTATACAACGATGTACTGACTGAGTCTGTGGAGATTGCATGCAACGGTATCTTATTCATCCAAAAGGCCATAGTGACTGTGCCTTTGGGAATCGCATGCAACGATATCCTATTCATCCAAAAGGCTGTACTTAATGCGTCTGTGGGAATTGCAAGCAAATATATCCCATTTATCTAAATGAGTATACTTACTGTGGCTGTGGGAATCGCATGAAACGATATCCTATTCACCCAAGTGGCTCTACTGACTGTGTATGTGGGAAATCGCATGCAGCGATATCTTATTCATCCAGAAAGCCATACTGATTGCGTCTGTGGGAATCGCATGCAACGATATCTTACTCATCCAAAATGCTGTTCTGACTGTGTCTGTGGGGATCGCATGCAACGATATCTTATTCATCCAAAAGGCTGTACAGACTTTGTCAGAGGAAATCACACGCAACAATATCCTGTTCATTCAAAAGGCTGTACTTACTGTGTCTGCTAGAATAGCATGCAACGATATCTCATTGACACAAATGGCTGAACTGACTGTGGTTGTGGGAATCGCATGCAACGATATCCTATTTATCCACTGGGCTGTACTGAATAAGGCTTGGAAATCACATACAACAATATCCTATTCATCCAAAAGGTTGTACTGACTCTGTCTGTAGGGATCGCATGCAGCAATATCCTCCTATTTATCCACAAGGAAGCACTGCTTGGATCCAATGCAACGATATCATATTCATCCAAAAGGCTGTATTGTGTCTGTGGAGATCGGTTGTAATGATATCTTATTCATTCAAAAGGCTATAGAGATTGTGTCTGTGGAAATCGCATGCAACGATATCATATTCATCCCAAAAGCTGTACTGAGAGTGGTTGTGGGAATCGCATGCTGCGATATCTTATTCATCCAGAAAGGCTGCACTGACTGCGTCTGTGGGAATCGCATGCAATGATATCCTATTTATCCACTGGGCTGTACTGAATATGGCTTGGAAATCACATACAACAATATCATATTCATCCAAAAAGCTGTACTGACTCTGTAGGGATCGCATGCAGCAATATCCTCCTGTTTATGCACAGGGAAGCACTGCTTGAATCCAATGCAACGATATCATATTCATCCAAAAGGCTGTATTGTGTCTGTGGAGATCGGTTGCAACGATATCTTATTCATTCAAAATGCTATAGAGATTGTGTCTGTGGAAATCGCATGCAACGATATCCTATTCATATAAAAGGCTGTACTGACAGTGTCTTTGGGAATCCCATGCAACGATATCTTATTCATCCAAAAGGTTGTACAGACTCTGTCTGTGGATATCGCAAGCAACGATAAGTTATTCATCCAAAAGGCTGTACTCACTGTGTCTCTGGGAATCGCATGCAACGATATCATATTCATCCAATGGGTTTCACTGACTGTGGCTGTGGGAATCGCATGCAACGATATCCTATTCATCCAAAAGGCTGTACTGACAGTGTCTTTGGAGATCGCATGCAACGATATCCTCTTATTTATACAAAAGGCTCTACTGACTGTGTCTTTGGAAATCGCATGCAAAGATATCCTTTTCAACCAGAAAGGCTGTATAGACTGTGTCTGGTGGAATCGCATGCATGGATATCTTATGCATCCAAAAAGCTGTACTGAGTGTGTCTGAGAGGATCGCATGCAACGATATCTTATTCATCCAAAAGGTTGTACAGACTCTGTCTGTGGATATCGCAAGCAACAATAAGTTATTCATCCAAAAGGCTGTATTCACTGTGTCTCTGGGAATCGTATGCAACGATATCCGATTCATCCAATGGGTTTCACTGACTGTGGCTGTGGGAATCGCATGCAACGATATCCTATTCATCCAAAAGGCTGTACTGACAGTGTGTTTGGGGATCGCATGCAACGATATCCTCATATTTATACAAAAGGCTATACTGACTGTGTCTGTGGAAATCGCATGCAAAGATATCCTTTTCATCCAAAAAGGCTGTATAGACTGTGTCTGTTGGAATCGCATGCATCCAAAAGGCTGTACTGACTGTGATTATGGGAATCGCATGCAACGATATCCTATTTATCCAAAAGTCTGCACTAACTATGGTTGTCGGAATCGCATGCATCCAAAAGGCTGTACTGACTTTGTCTGATTGATCGCAGATAATGATAACCTATTCTTCCAATAGGCTGTACTGACCGTGTCTGTGGAAAGAAGTTTGTTCCTAATGTCGATATAGAAATCTGAAATTAGATATTGAAATTATACATTATAAATCAAAGACGATTGGTGCAATGCATAAAGAAAGTTATGAAAGCAATAAGTGGGTTTATCATCAATGTGATAAGTGTTACAGCTTTTTCGCCACCATTCGATTTTGCAATTAAAGTGTTGAATAATGTAACTGCTGACTACTCTCTACTTTGTTTTGCGTCATATGATAAATGCCCTTATTTGGTATGCAACTAAACAATTATGTCTGGACAACACTGCTAATACCGGTAAGTATGTGGCTGATGTTCATGGCTAATTATGTTGTCTCTATAAAACACAAGAAACTAGTGGAAACGTTCTTTGTTACAACATTGGAAGGTTGCACAACTTTTGAACGTTGTTCAACTTTCGTACTGTACATGTTTTATTTATAATTTGTACAAACGCAATCTTATTGGACTTGAAATTGGAGGAAACCATTTCGATTTTCCATCATATAAGGCTGCCGAATTTATTTAGTTTTTTTTTCTAAGACACTTCTCAAAAGTCAATATACTTAAGGACATAGTTCGATGAAAGGGCAGAATTTGGCTCCCAGTCTTTCCGATTTTGTTTAGATAGACGTACAGGACATCACCATTCCCTCTTAACACATAAAGCAGATAGGGCATTATGACCTAAAATTGATACACACAAGTCTCTATACATCCAAATGATTTTTGGGTTGGTTATTTTGTTGCATTTGAGAGGAGGCCTTATAGAAAGTGCTACATATAACATTTCTAAATTTAGTTTACAGAAAATGCTTGATACCTATTAATGAGTTAGATTAGTTAAAATTCCATCTTTTGGGATAGTTGAGAATGGGCACGGTAGCTTAGCTGGTAGAGCGTCGGATTCTTAATCATAGAAAGACGCGGGTGGAATACTGTCCCAAGCCACAGCCAGGCTGGCTTTCTCGGTCTGTGATTAGGAAAGGAAATTAAACTCTATACTAATGTTAAAATCCCATCTAGCCACTCAACCGCAAATCCAACATTTTTGAAAACATTCAATTGGAAGCCACTAGTAATATTTTAAAGAAATAAAAATACTTCAAGTGTTAGTTTAAATCCTAATGCAAGCCTTTGAACAGTTAATAATTTGTTTTGTTTGTTGGAAACTTGTAACAAATGGAAAGTTAGGAAGAAATAAAGAAATCGTATTTACTGAATACGCCTCAATTACCTTCTTGATTAAAATCAGATCTCCACAATCTTCCTTGAAAAACACTCTGTACTAATTGTATTACAAAATGGGAACTAGCCTAGAAATGGGTGAATTTTAAATAGAGTATATTCAGGTTTGGCTGACTAGGATTGGTTAATAATGTAAGTTATGTTTTAGGAAAAAGAATCTTTTAAGCCCTTGTCCTAGTTGAAAGTGAATAAAAATAGAGACATTGTTTTATAGATAAAATTTCATTTCTTTAATAATATTGAGTTGGGAACACTCATAACTTAATTTAGCACCTGACTATTTGATGCGGAATTGAAAGCACATGTTTCAAACATATGCAGGTTCAGAAAATGCCGCGGCTCATATCCATTCCTCTGCACAAAAGCTGACATCCGGATTTCATCTATGCTTTTAAATATATGTTTGGTCATGAGCACTCCAAAATGTTATGTTATTTAATTTTTAATATCATGGTGTTTTCATAGGTTTACTATCGGAACTGAATTTGCACCGTGATTCCTGAAGATCTGACAGAAATCAGAAAGTGAATCAAATCGTCCGGCACAGCTTGATACTCCTCAGCCAAACTACACAGTCTCCCAACGAGAAGACACAAGACTTCATCTGATTGGTTAATAATGTTATGGTAAGAACATGACACCAGAACATGACCTCTAAGCGGTTGTTGTCGGGTCTACACTTAGGACAGTAGAGCTCTTATTTTAATCAGGTTGCATGAATTACAGAACACAAACGTGATTAGAAACGTATTTTATAAACGAAAAACAAATAAATAAGCGAAAATATAACTAAATATTGAAATGAAAGCCTACAGCAATACTTGTACGGCTACTGTCAGATAGTCTAGTACAATTAGCGCAAAAATGAATGTCGTTCTCTCTGTCTCTGTCTGACTTTATAAGTAACGAATCAGCATTTTTGTGATTCAATATATTACATTGCATTTATATACTTTATCTTAAAATCTTCAGAAAATGGAGGAATAAAAGAATCTCTCTCTCTCTCTATCTATCTATCTATCTATCTATCTATCTATATATATATATATATATATATATATATATATATATATATATATATATATATATATATATATATATGTGTGTGTGTGTGTGTGTGTGTGTGTGTGTAATCAATTAAGACTCATAATGGGGTTCAGAAGGCTAATATATTCAATCAAATATTCGCTGATCTGATTTTAAAAAAAAATCAAAACAACAGATTGAATGCGTATTGTTGCAATAAAGGTAATCAAAATGTACAAAAATACTTTTCTTCAATCTCTTTTCTTCCATAAGCATTTCTTTCATAACTGATGCAATCAATAATTTTTTCATTTTAATGTGACGGTAAGATACTCAGCATGCAAGGTCTGTTTTAAATCCTGTCTTCAGACGACAATTTAAAGCTAGCATTTAAATAAATCATAAAATTGAATATACAATGATACTAACGAATATTTCATTATTACTGTATTCAGTGCTGATTTCATCACTTTAATGCAATGGTGTGCCTCTTTTTATCATTTGTATGATCATGCCTGCCTGAATGCCGATCTATTTGAAATCATAGAAGATTAGAATATGGATAAAACAAAATGCGACGTAATATGATCAGGTGCTGACAAAATACGCAAAAGATCTTATTTATTACAGTCAAAAATAATAAGTCTGCTTATTTATTACCGTCGTTCTCTTCAATGCGCTTTTCAAATAATATTTTGTTTGTCATCCAAATATTCCAATTATTATTATTTTTTTTCTATAAAATTCATCAAAATGCTACCAAAACAGAAAGAAAATAAAGCATACAATCGCCCATGGAAATAGAAATCGACATTTGAACGTACCCTTTTTTTTAAAGAAGGACAATATAGCATTGTGCTACTCTAGAGTGACATCCAAAAATTGCAAATGGCGGAAAATTAAGTTATGCATTTGGCAGTCATCTTTCTGTCTGATAGTGATGAGAGCGAATGACAACATCTATAAAATTTGCAGATTTTTTTTATACGGTTACAAAACGCATGTTCCAATAAATAATTAAATGTGTTCTCGATTGCGTTGTCATTTTTTGAGGTCTTCAAAAAGGCAGAAGTCTAACAAATGTTGGAGTTTTTTTATTAAACACGGGACCACGTATGAACAAAAATTACATGTTAATTTTAGGTTGTTTCATTATCTCGTGTGTAAATATATTGCACCTGATATAGAGTATTGAACAATCATAACAAATATTCTTGGAAACATGTTACTTTATCGCTAAAATCCAAAATCCAAGGAAAATATAGAGACAACACTGAACAATTTGAATAGGGTCAGCATTTGATATTGATATGATGAATTTAGAATTTAAATAAAGAATCCTTAAAGAATTTTTATAAGGAATCCTTAAAGACTGTTATGGTGATGTTTACACTGAAGTGTAGGGAATTACCCATCGTGTTACCTATTCTTCGGATGTTGGAAAGAAAAACATCTGGACTAGTACACGGTTAAATAAATAATCACATATACCGTCCAGAAAGGAAACACAATTTATTTACTGCACTCTGAAAAAAAAATCCAAATATTATGCACCACTTATTTTTGAACAGAATGCAGAAACGTGTTTCAGCAGTATCGGAATGTGTTGAGGATAATTACAAAACTAGCTGCAGCAGGATCGATTATTGGAGGAACAATAATAAGGCTTACAGTACTAAGTTTTCAGTTTAAATCAATTGCTCCTGATGTATGTAATAGAAGTTGAAAACGAAAAGGATGATGTCGTGAATGAATTTCATAGACAAAACCAGATTTTAATTAAAAAGCTCAATTAATAAAATGTTGAGACGCCGGGATGCGGTCAGTCATACTTTACACAACAAAGACACTTACGGCCATAGTACACAATTAATTTTACTATATGGTCTCTACATTTGTTTCTCAGTACTGAACTTTCCACTGTGTGACAATCAATAAAAATCATATGTTAATCTAAACTACCTTCAACGATGACTTTACGGTTTAGTTCTTGTCAAGGGTTGACCTGCATTTTTTTGAGAGGCTGATTTGTAAACAAAACACCAGGCAACGGAACACAGATTTCACTTCCGGATCATCACCATGACCTTATTACTCAATGTGCACTGTCGCCGAAATACACACAGACAACCACACCATAAGCTCACCTTTTAAAGAATAATCAATTGCCTTTAAATCCTTACCAAGAATGCCAAAATCTAACTCTAGTATCACCACCAAATTTAGACCGGAAAAAGTGATCTAAAAATAGACTGGGACTACATTCGTGGGTACTGAACCGGATTTTATTAATTGTGTACTGATTCCTTACGTAGCAAGAAAGTATGCCCCCCCCATACACGTACTTTCGTACCAATGACTCCTCCCAATAAATACATTGGCAATTTTGGGTCCCTATTGGAATTGCCCTCTTACTTCATCCAGGCCCCAACATTTTTTAGGAATGTATGAGCGGTTGCTACGCTATCAAATTCAATTCTTCAATAATATATCCGGTGACAAATATTTCCGACAAAATTAAGATAAACAAGTTAGCAATAGCGATAACAACCACAGATGGAGTTCCGAAACCAGGAAGGAAAAGGAATCATACTGGATACGCCGCCTTAGAACATTGAAACCAAGCGGTCTAAACCAAGAAGATTAGAAAATGAAAACTTTGCACTAGTAGAATTTAACATTTTCTAAATCTTCTTATTATCCTTCTATTTTTACTATACGAATAACAGGTATAGAATCAAATATCCGGGATATAATCTGCGTTACATAAATGTACAAAAAGTAAAAATAGATGTCGCTTTGGCCTATAGACTTTTAGGGAATTATACACCCTTTTCAGTTTCCGCAACTAATCTATACAAGCTGGTTGTATTTATAGTTTTAACACATGTGGAGACAGCCATGTAGAGGTTTACAAACACAACATTTTTGTGTTTATTTGTTTGTCGTATATATGTTTTGTATTTGCCTTTGAAAAAGACTCATTAAGAGTCGAAAGCGCTTAGGCTAGTTAGTTACTAGTATCGTACTGTTCGTCGTCAGTCTATTGCATATATATATATATATATATATATATATATATATATATATATATATATATATATATATAATGGTGTATAAATATACCTATTTTAACGATACGGCTTTGTCACAATCTTTAATCAAGGTATTGTAGTAAATGTGATGTGATCATGATTTTTAACGTAGCTTTAACAATTTTTCAGTCATATCGCTACGATGTCTGCAGTGTGGCAGTTCATAGCGGTGTCTCTAATACTGGGGCATCATGCTGCAGACATGTAGCATGATGTCCCACCCAGTCAAGTTACCGTGACACCAGGCCGACCAGTCCTATCACTAACCTCTTAATGCTGAGCGCTAAGCAAGGCAGCTGTTAGTACCATTTTTGTAAGTCTTTGGTATGACTTTACTGGGGATCAAACCGACGATCTGCCACATCCGAGGCGGATGCTCTAACCACTAGGCCACCGGAACGGTTTGCAGTAAATGAAATTAACCTACAATTAGTGCATTGTTTGCGGAATCAATTATCTTTGTTTCATCTTAAAGAGATTAAAATCAACACGCACACACACACACACACATACACACACAGAGCTAAGATGAATATTACATCAAAATTTTGAATTGTTACATCAAGACATAAAAAATGCCTC